ACCCCTTTTAATTAAACCTTTTTCTAAATACGTAGTCACAGGTATTTACTTTAGTTTTGTATCATACACCAAGGTAAGGTTAATAGTACGTATTGTTTTAAGGGAGCTAACCCCCATTCAAATACCTTTTAATTAATTACTTTACTTTTGAATCGCACACCGAGGTAAGGTTAATAGTACGTTTATTTTAAGGGAACTAACCCCATTAAAATACCCTTTAAATAAATATGTATCTAAATAAGTAGTCAATTGAATTTTCTTTTTTAGTGTACAACCGACTCATCGACACAACCACTGACCCAATTGAGCTACCTACCCAGCCCCGAGGCATCCACTGAACCAAACGTTCCAACTACATCCAACTACACCACTTCGGATCTCCACATACAGCTAACTTCACGTTCAGCTTAGACGTGCAAACCCATAGGTACGTTTCATTTTCAATTTTATTTTAAGTATGTTTTTTTTTTTTTTTTTTTTTTTTTTTTTATTTCATGTATTTTATTTTATGTAATTCTTTTTATTCTACAGCCAGCGACCTATCCAAGCATCCGACTGATCCACACACTAGACACATCGTCAATAATGGAAGCCGCCCAACCTACCACCCACCAAGCCATGACCCGTTTCACATGCGAGATCTGCAACCGAGTGTTCACCCTTAAACAGCATTTGACAAGACATCACGACTCTGCACACGGTCGAGGAAGACATTCCTGTTCAACTTGCGGGAAAGTATTTACACGACTTGACAATTTGACAAGACACTTTACGAAAGCACACAGCAACCAAACATTACCGACCGACACCCCATCAGCAACCAACAGACAAACACACCAACCCACATCTGTGACCGACACACATACTCCCCAACTCCCATCAGCGAGCCAAACAGCTCGTACCGAGACCAACACTAGCCCTTTAAAACGACACACGACGTATGACGACATAACAAACAACAAACGCGTAAAGACTAACAACGACAGTAACGTTAATTCACACACCACTATTTTTCCTGTAGACGACCTTAGGGGAGATGCAGTAGACTTACACATGACCACAGACAAAGCTTCACCTACATACCTTCTTACAGACATTCCTGACTTTATTAAACATAATCACGCCATTAACATGTTACAACACGATTCACATTCCAAACCCTACACAGACAATTTTTCCTTTTTTAGATGTTTAGCCACACATTTAGGAACACCCTTAAAAAATCTTAGAAAGCCAACATTAAAACTCGCGAAACAGTGGCAAGCGCACCAAGGTCTCGGGACCTTGGATAATTTTAGCGGGGTTAGGTTGGTCGAAATTCCCCTCTTAGAGTCCTGTTTTAGTGTAAATATTGAGATTTTTGAATTTAACGAAAACCAGATCCTTTCCCCAAAACTTAGAAGTAGTGATAGGTTTAGGGAGACTGTATACCTTTTATTTTTTCAAAATCAGTTTATGTACATTAATAATATAGGTGGGGCGGGTCACTCTTTCGCGTGTTCTGTGTGTAACAAATTATGGCCCACCGTTCAACAAATGAACAGACACGTGAAAGGGTGTAATGGGGGGAAACCCGTAGATAGGTATAAGGGAGGGCTTTATCAGACACAGCAAACAATCTGGGAGTTTTTAGCGTCCTATGGGTTAGTTGTAGATAGTAACTTTGTTTATCCCTTCAGAGCAACTTACGATTTCGAATGCTATTTCGACCATACCGAGTTACCCCCGTTAGGTAGAGTTACAAAAAGCGTTGCCAAACACGTGCCTTTGTCTTGCTCTGTCGCCTCAAACGTAGATGGGTTCGTCGAACCCATCTGTTTTATTTCGACTGGTGACCCTAAAGAATTAGTGACTAGAGTTATTGACAGACTCCACATAATCGCCGAGGCAGCTTATGGAATTTTGAAAAAACAGTTCGAGCCTGTTTTTAAGCAAATCAGGAAGTTATTTCCACCTAAAGCTAGGGGTAGTGAAAATAAGTCGAACGACAAAGGGTTTGATAGGTTTCTTAGCGGTAGATTAGACGAATATTTGCGACAAATGCCGGTTATAGGGTTTAATTCAGGAAAATATGATATAAATCTCGTTAAGCCGTATTTTATTCAGTACTTTTTAGCTTATTCAAACACAGAAGAGGGGTTAGAGGAGGGACCTAGAGCTAGTTGTAACGATGACGAAGACGACGTAGAAGATAAACAAACACCGTTTAAATATGTAGTTAAAAGAAATAATAATTTTATGTGTATATCAACTAATAAATTAAAGTTCTTAGATATAGTTAATTATCTAGCACCTGGGTTTAGCTATAGTAAATACCTTGCCGCGTATAATGTTAAAGAGACCAAGGGATTTTTTCCGTACGAATATGTAAAAAATTTAGCCGTCTTAGATGAAACTTGTTTACCTCCGCATTCGGCCTTTTTTTCATCATTAAAAAATTGTAACATTTCAGTCGAGGAGTACGCGACGTGTAGCCAAATTTGGGTAGAGAAGGGGATGCAAACTTTTAAAGATTATCTTATTTGGTATAACAATATCGATGTAAAACCGTTTATCGAAGCGCTCGAGCAGCAAACTAATTTTTACAAAAATTTAGGGGTTGATATTTTTAAAGACGCGATTTCTGTCCCGGGGGTAACCTTAAAATACTTATTCAAAACACTTCCCGAAAACGTTTCTTTTTCTTTGTGTTCCGAGCGCGAATCAGAGTTACATAAAACAATCCGAAATAATATCGTAGGGGGCCCCTCCATTATTTTTCATAGACATCACGAAAAGGGTGAAACGTTCATTAGGGGGAATAGTAAAAAGGTGGTACAGGCAATTAAGGGGTACGACGCGAACGCGCTTTATTTATGGTCTTTAATGCAAAAAATGCCGACGGGATTTCCGATTATTAGAAATAGTGAGGAGGGGTTTAGACCGCGTAAAGCGAATCATTATGGGGAACAGGCCTTTCAGTGGTTATCGTGGGTTTCAAAAACACAGGGGGTAACTTTAAAAACTGCGTTTAACGGGGGCGAAGTTAGCTTAGGATCCCGCCATATAAGAGTAGACGGATGGGACGCGAACACTCGAACCGTTTATCAGTTCCATGGCTGCCTCTTTCATGGACACCCTGACTGCCCCTTAACTAAAGACAGAACAGTAAACCCCATTAGTAACATACCCTTGACTGAGTTATTTAAAAAGACAAACGAAATTACGAAGTACCTTACCGAGACTGTTGACGTTAAAGTCGTAGAAATGTGGGAATGTGAGTGGGGGAACCAGAAAAAAATGAACCCAACTATTAAAGACTATTTAAACTCTATTGACAAATCACAAAAGACACCGACACCGACCTATGGTAAGAAATGGCCCCTGACTGAAAAACAGATCATCGATTCTGTTTTAGACGACTCGTGTTTTGGTCTGATAGAATGCGACATTAAAGTACCGGATAGTTTAAGAGAACATTTTAGTGAGATGACACCGATTTTTAAAAATACGAACGTTACGCGCGACGACATCGGACCGTTTATGAGACAATACGCGATCGATAACAACTTATTAACTAGCGGTAGACGGACTTTAATCGGTAGCTTTACAGGGGAGAAAATTTTATTAGCGACCCCCCTTTTAAAGTGGTATTTAAATCATGGGTTGGTGGTAACTAAAATTTATCAAGTCGTTGAATATAATCCGGTTGCATGTTTTAAGACATTTGGGGATACAGTTTCAGACGCGCGAAGAAAGGGGGACATAGACGACAAATACGCAATAACTAGTGAAACAATGAAATTGTTAGGAAACGCGGCATACGGTAAAACTTTGACGGATAAAACACGACATGCGGACATGACCTACTGTAGTGATAGGGATATAGCGGATTGTATTAATAATCCACGATTTAAAAAAATGACAAAACTTACCGACGCTGTTTACGAAGTAGAAACGTTAAAAAAGAAGATAGTTTGGGATCTCCCTCTTCAGATAGGCTTTTTCGTTTATCAGTACGCGAAACTTAGAATGTTAGAATTTTATTATGACTTTATAGACAAATATATAGATAGAACCGACTTTCAGCTATGTGAGATGGACACGGACAGTTTATACTTAGCCTTAAGTACCGATGACTTGTTAAAAGCCGTAAGACCGGGACTAGAACACGAGTTTTTTGACATTTACGACAAATGGTTCCCCTCAGAAGTATGCGACTCACATAGACCACAATTTATAAGCGGCAAAGGCACGGTAGATAGTCATTGTCTGGGGTGTAGGGCTAGGAAAATTTATGAAAAAAGAACACCGGGGTTGTTTAAGCTAGAATATGAAGGGGATGGGATGGTATCTTTATGTAGTAAGACGTACCACTGTTTTGGCGAGTATAATAAAACATCAACCAAAGGATTATCTAAAAATCACAACACACTAGGCAAAGAATCTTTCATGCAGGTCCTCACAACAAAGGAACCAAGTGGTGGGACAAACACAGGGTTCAGAGCATACAACACGGGGATATACACTTACACCCAACACAGAAACTCACTTTCTTACTTTTACATTAAAAGACAAGTAGACGCAGACAATGTCACAACATCTCCCCTAGACATATAAGACCCTTTAGTTTACCAACCATGACTTTAACGAGACTTTAATGTAAATATGTAAATAAGACAGAACCATGACGGTATGCTGATGGGGTTGTTTTTATTCAATAAAAACTTATGATATAAACGATCTTTTTTAAATTTTTGATGTGAGTTATTGTTTTGTTACTTGTCCCTGAAAGTTATGTAACTCGGTATCCTGTATAAGAGGCATGACTGAAATCAAAATCAACCATTTAAAATACTGGATCCGAGTTGGAAACCGCTCTTTACGGTATTGATCGATAGCCCACCCAGGTGTGGTATTCAGGGAATACTATAAACACCGCCGTATAAGAACCCTATACCATGTCCGGTGAATGTTTTTGTCTTCAGTGCTGTGGATGGGATTCCCGTGAGAGCACGGGAATGTCGGATCAAACGGAAACGGGTCTTGATATTGGACCCGAGGAAGTGAGATTGTATCCTGTACAGATGATCAGTACCTTTCATGAGACTAATCAAGGGGAGATGAATCTAGGTTATGAGAGAGTGTTTGTACAGCGACCTATAGGTGGAACCTTTATTGAACCCCTTGATGAGACGCCCTCACCACCACCCAACCCAGCTTCCGACAGGGACAGTGACTTCAGGTTCCATGATGAGGAGGAAAGGTTGCAAACATTTTCGGGGTGTTGGTCCGACGTCTACCCTGTGGACCCTATCAGTTTAGCTAAAAATGGTTTTATCTTTATTGGTCCTGGTGACCTTGTCAAGTGTGTTTACTGTTTGAATACGTTGAGGGGTTGGGAAACGGGTGATGTGGTAGAAGAAGAACATCGACGCTATTATCCAGACTGTCCTTTTGTACGGGTTGCACACACACACACACACACACACACACAATCAGGAGTTGTTTTAAGTAAATAAAATTTTTATGTACATTTAAATGCTCTTTTGTGATTAATTGTAATAGCTGATTAAAAGGTGTGACAACTTTCCCATCCAACTTTGAAATCCTACGCAGTCAAAACATCGGTGTAAGTTATACACCGCAAACCAAACTTTTTCACTCAAACCAAAAAGCTCTCACATACACACACACACACACACACACACACACACACACACACCATCAGAAAACGAACTGGTAAAGACAAAAACAATATTACATCGGGAAAACTTCACCGACCCTAGTATAAATTCTATCCGCAACAACTCCAAGACATGAATGGACAGAGTTTGAAACATGCGTCGGTGAAAACTTCACCGACCTTAGTATGAACTCGACTGTCAACAATTCCTAAACATACATGTAACAACTTTGAAACCTACCTAGGTGAAAACTTCACCGACCCTAGTATACATTCTACCCACAACAATTCCAAGAACATGTATGTACCAACATGTCTCGGTGTTAACAAAACTCCCTCGACTCTAGTGTAAACTCTACCCCTAACAATTCCTAAACATACATGGTCTAGCTTCGAACCCTGCCTCGGTGAAAACTTCACCGACCCTAGTATAGACTCTACACCAACCCCTTCCAAAACATCGTGTACCAACATCACTCGGTGAAAACAAAATCCTTCCCACTCTAGTATGGAATCGGCCCCTAACACTTCCAAAACATGCCTGTATCAACTTTGTAACCTGCCTCGGTGAAAACTTCACCGACCCTAGTTTGAAACCTACCAACTCCAAAGCATGCATGTAACAACTTTGAACCAAGCCATGGTGAAACCAAAACCATACCACCCTAGTATAAACTCTACACCTAGCAATTCTTAAACATGTATGGTTCGAGTTCAAAACCAACCTCGGTGAAAACTTCACCGACCCTCGTATAAACTCTACACCTAGTAATTCTTAAACATGTATGGTGCGAGTTCAAAACCAACCTCGGTGAAAACTTCACCGACCCTCGTATAAACTCTACACCTAGTAATTCTTAAACATGTATGGTTCGAGTTCAAAACCAACCTCGGTGAAAACTTTACCGACCCTCGTATAAACTCTACACCAACCAACAACAAAACATTGCCTCGGTGAAAACCAAAACCAAAAACCTATGATACTGTCCGTATAACTGTTAGTGAAAAGCACGGGATCCAACCGGGGGGGGGGGGGGGGGGGAAATCAATTAACGTGGTAACAGATGTTCCCACACTTAACGCGGAGAGGCACTTAATGTACGTCGTTAATTATCATGACCTATCAAACCTAGCGGGGAAACTCGGTGAAGCATAACAAAATTTAATTAGGTGGGACATCATGCTGTGATGGCCCGTGGGTGCGATCAATATTAACGCGCCCGTTGTTTGACAAGAACAAAGGATTGCGGATCGATATGTAACACATGTTGCACGGTTGGTTAAATGGATGTTCTATTTTTGGTAACCGTTCGTTGTGTTGCTGAATGGTCCCTATACAAAGTACACGCTAGTGTTAGTCTTTTATTTAAAACATACATACAAGCAAATAAACAAACCAACAAATTAAACAACAAAGAAAAGAAATATATTAAATAAACAAATAAACAAAGTAATTAAAATCAAATTACGTAACTAGTTAATAATAATTTAACTAATTATAAAATAAAATTAAAAATTTTAAAATTCAAAAAAATTAAAATCCAATTACGTAACTACTCAATAAAAAATTAATTAAAAAGTAAACAAATAATCAAATTACGTAACTCGTTAATAAAAATTACACAGTATAAACAAAGTAATTAAATTAAACAACAAGTAAACAACAAATTAAACAATTAAAAAAGTAAACAAATAATCAAATTACGTAACTAGTCAATAAAAAATTAATTAAAATTTAAAAAACTCATTAAAACTCATTAAAACGCATTAACATTACGTAACTAGTTCAATGATGACGTCACAAGGTCACTAATTACGTCACAAGGTCAAAGATTACGTCACAAGGTCACCAAAAGGTGACCCACCCTTCACTCCTCCGCCAACCCCAGTTGGCGTAGTATTTTACTATATGTCTTTGCGCCCTCTGCGCATCCTGCTCACCCACCCTTACCCTCCCGATGCGCCAGGCTGGGAGTATTTTGCTATATCTCTTTGCGCCCTTCACCCTCCGCTCCTCCCGAGTATTTTACTATATGTCATTGTTCCTCACCCTCCGCTCCTCCGCCAAAAATGATACCCAAAAGTGACCTAATATACTACTATCATGACTAATTGTATGGGTTTCGTGGATTTTTGTAACATCAAGTTAATGAATTGTCGTCTTTTTATTTGACGACATGAGATGATAAGTGAGTTGGACGGTGGATGGTTAAAAAAAAAGCATGAAGTAATCTATGGGCGAACTCCAGGGGCGGAACTAGGAAAAAAAAGCCCCCCCCCCCCCCCCCCAGCAAATTTGTTTCAGCCCATATATATATATATATATATATATATATATATATATATATATATATATATATATATATATATATATATATATATATTACTAGACTCAGAGGCGTATCCAGGTTTTCGTTGTAGGGGGAGCGAAAAGAGCAAAAAAAGGCGCCGAATTTTAAACACGTTCTATATACGTGTAATATATATATATATATATATATATATATATATATATATATATATATATATATATATATAATTACTAGCTGTATGTCATTACTTCGCTATGATGTAAAATAAATTGAAAGTAGCACTCTGAAGAAATAAGAAAAAACATAAAATGTAGGCCGACAAAACAAAAATTGTATCAATCTTAAAAAAAAAAAAATCTACACACACTACAACCAAAAACAATGAACGTAACACAATCTGTTTTGTAATTCTTGTAAACAAATTTCTTACATAATAATTCCTCGGAAATTATTTAAGACAAGTGAAATAGGGGAAATAATCACTCTCTTAATATAAATATGTATATATCTACACATTTAATTATAAATGTCAAAACAAATAAATAATTACTATAGAATATAATCAAATTGTTTAACACTAATCGTGTTTACAAAATGTTTTTGTCTATAATCATAATTTAATATATCGTCATCATAAATGCTAAAGTTTTACAGCATAATGAAAGTTTTTAAAATCAGAGTTGGTATAAAGCGTTTAATAGAGATACATTCGAAATAAAAGCCTACATTTAACTAAATATCGGTCTTTTAGTTCAGATCATATATTTTTAAATAACTACTGCTTCTTTGTGTTCTTTAAAGATAATTTTTTAACATAGTGATAGGTAGGGGTTAGATCACGGTATTGATCACACACCTTTTTACTGGTAATTGCAAAAACAATATTCACAGTTTTACGTTTAAAAAGCTAATTTTTTTGGCGGCATGGTACTTTGGTACATCACTACGCGTTTTTTCTACTTGTACTTAACAGATCAGTTCGGGGTGCGTTGGGGGGGGGGGGGGGGGGGTTCAACTTCATTCACCACTGTCCGGTCACTTTAGGTCAATTATCCAACCCAGTGTATACCTAGGTGTGACATTAATGTCGCTCTACACAATTGTGGGTGGTGAGTGGTGTGTGTGTGGGGGGGGGGGGGGGGGGGGAGATAACCAACTCAGAGTGAACATAGCGTCAGTTTTTAGATGACTGTTCTAAACATACATATATATTTACACAAATATATATTACACAAATATATATTACAGAAATAGATTTAAATAAGTAGCAGTGGTATTATGACAATATTTTTTTTTTACAGAGGGGTCCATGGGGGTGGGGTGTTGTAACTGTTTCATATAATTTGTAATCGTAATCACTATCGCACAAACTGTAAGAATACTGCTACTTCATTGTGATGACGTTGACCTTGTCGAAATTTCCCCACCACTACGCAGTTTGCTCATCAGTGAATTTAAATAGAGGTGCCACATCAGTTGTATTTGTTTCTGTATTGTAATTTTTTTTAAATTAATCACACGATTCAAACTGTATATATAAAGTAATTATGTGTGAAGTTTTATGTATAACATTTTCTAATTCAATTATTCGTAAGCAAATACATTATACAGTTGCCTTAAACTTAACAACCCTCTTGCCAGGTGGTACTACCCGTAGAGGTTTTTTAAACATTGCAATGCATCGTAATGGTTATTTTTAGAATGGCAAACTGATGCAGCTGTTAATACGTGTTGTAAACGTAGACACTACTAGACTAGTACAATAATGCTTAATTGCTGCATGAAAAGAAATCTTGTGATTTACATAGATGTGCCGACCAAAAATTTTTTTAACAAATATCATTGTTTAAAACTTTGCTGACCAAAAATATTTTTTTAACAAATATCATTGTTTAAAACTTTGAGTTTAAAAAGTTTCCAAAAAGGCGCCACTTTGCTGAAAATGGCCAGAGGGGGAGCGGCCGCTCCCCCTGCTCCCCCCCCCCCCCCCCTGCGTACGCTACTGACTAGACTGTCTTACTAAATGCTAAATTAAACAGTTTCCTAATTTAGTAATTTAACCGATTCGATTGTTAATTATATCCACCCTAGGACAACAAACACACTGGAATTTTTAAAAGTTTAAGTAATTAAAAATGGATTAACAATTATGTTTATATCCCGAGTTGCCATCCCCCGTAGTGTTATATAAGAATATTCGAGAAAGTTTTGGGGAGATCACTCCCGTTTTATTGATTACTTAAACTTTTAAAAATAGAATAGTCTCGTAGAAAAAAGAATTGCGCACCAAGTGAACGCCAAACAATATGTGTACAATAGTGTGCAATATTATTAGTACTTTACAAATTCACATGCAGAAGGCAGAGCATTAGATCTTTTTCTTAGATGTGAAATTTCATTTATCTATCTGAAACAGTACTCAAGTTATAGGCTTTTGAAAAAATGAAAGTAGAATAAGTTCCACTTCCGGTTACAGGAAATCGCTGAAAAGTTAATACAGAACTACAAATGTTATATATAATACTTATATATGAAATTTCATCAACCTAGCTATAATGGTACTCAAGTTATCCAGTTTATTTATCCCGGTTTATTTATTTTCTTAGTTCAAAAGTATTAAAATGAGCTTTTTGGGCAACACACTCTTGATCGTGACTGAGGTAGTTCCCCCCACCCCAGTCCCCGGTCGTGGCTGAGACAGTTCCCCCCCTCGGCCGTGACTGAGACAGTCCCCCCCCCCCGGTCTTGACTGAGAGAGTTCCCCCCCCCCCCTCCCCACCCCAGAGGCGTAGCGACCCTTCCCGGCGCCCGAGGACAAACTTTTCGATTTGCACCCCCGCTCAAGATTTCGATTTGCACCCCCCCCCCTCTCAAGATTTCGATTTTGCACCCCCCCCCCCCCCCCTTAAACTTTCGATTTCCACCCCCTCATTCTTTCAATTTACTTTTCAAACCCATTATGGCGCCCCATAAGGTCGGCGCCCGGGGACATATGTCGTCCCCCCCCCCCCTCGCTACGCTACTGCCCCACCCCCGGGTCGTGACTGAGTGACCTCTCTTATATAAAAATCCTACGATCGCCTTTAACCGTTGTTAAAACGTTGCTGACGTTTACTTATACAATCCACTCAACGTCGTGATATTTACGCGCGTTAATAACTTGTATATGCAGTGGTGACATTTACCTGCGTACAAAAATTTCTCACCTCCGTGCGGGTACGTTTTGTCCCTCTTTTGACATTAACGTCAGGCTCCAATATCCCTACCCCCTCCCTCACACACACACACACACACACACACTACACACACACACACTACACACCCATACCCCTGAGACACACGACACACAGTGTGTAGTGGCAAGTGTTAGCTGCAAACGGGAATATGCATGTTAGATTCCTTTTTTTTTAAATCATGTATTCCCATGCACTGATCGCCATGTTTTACATTAATGTCCTTTTAGAAAAGGTGGATTGGTCTTCTTGGGAGTGAGGGTCGTACATTTATGGTGAGAGAGATTTGTGAGTGGTATGGTGGGGGAGATGTGAGTGATATAGTGGGGGGCTGTGAGTGATATGAAGGGGGGTGTGAGTGATATAGTGGGGGATGTTAGAGATATAGTGGGGGAGATGTGAGTGATATGGTGGGGGGGGGCTGTGAGTGATATAGTGGGGGAGCTGTGAGTGATATGGTGGGGAGATGTGAGTGATATAGTGGGGGAGCTGTGAGTGATATGGTGGGGAAATGTGAGTGATATAGTGGTGGGGGGGGGAAGCTGTGAGTGATATAGTGGGGGGCTGTGAGTGACATAGTGGGGGAGATGTGAGTGATATGGTAGGGGGGGCTGTGAGTGATATAGTGGGGGAGCTGTGAGTGATATGATGGGGGAGCTGTGAGTGATATGGTGGGGAGATGTGAGTGATATAGTGGTGGGGGGAAGCTGTGAGTGATATAGTGGGGGGCTGTGAGTGATATAGTGGGGGAGATGTGAGTGATATGGTGGGGGGGGCTGTGAGTGATTTAGTGGGGGAGATGTGAGTGATATGGTGGGGGTGTGTGAGTGATATAGTGGGGGGAGCTGTGAGTGATATAATGGGGGAGCTGTGAGTGATATAGTGGGGGGGGGGAGCTGTGAGTGATATAATGGGGGAGCTGTGAGTGATATAGTGGGGGGGGGCTGTGAGTGATATAGTGGGGGCTTTGACTGATATAGTGGGGGCTGTGAGTGATATAGTGGGGGAGCTGTGAGTGATATGGTGGGGGGAGATGTGAGTGATATAGTGGGGGAGATGTGAGTGATATAGTGGGGACTTTGACTGATATAGTGGGGGCTGTGAGTGATATAGTGGGGGGAGCTGTGAGTGATATGGTGGGGGGAGATGTGAGTGATATAGTGGGGGAGATGTGAGTGATATAGTGGGGGGCTGTGAGTGATATAGTGGGGGAGCTGTGAGTGATATAGTGGGGGAGCTGTGAGTGATATAGTGGGGAGCTGTAAGTGATTTGGTGGTTAGCTGTGAGTGATTTGGTGGGTTGAGATGGTGAGATGTGAGTGCTATTGTGGTGGCTGGTGTAAGTGATATGGTGGGGGAGCTGTGAGTGATATAGTGGGGGGGGGTGTGAAAAATACATTACTAGGACCTGAACCCAAACATATGCACTGATATATACTACCCACATAAAGATATGTTTAATTATAGATGGTTGGTGGTGTAATGAATCATGTTCTTATAAGTTACCTACTGGGCGTAAAATGTGGCTTAAAATACAGTACCGTAAGAAACATTGCAGATACATCACACTTTATCAGACAATGGCACTCATTCTATAGAATTCCTAGTTCTTACTTTGCCTATTTCCGTAAAGCCTATATATATATATATATATATATATATATATATATATATATATATATATATATATATATATATATATATATATATATATATATATATATATATATAAATCTACATAATTAGGATGTTTACAGTAGTTAACTTGTTGATGAATTTCTAGTCATCAATGCTTAGATCATTCGTGTTTATCAGAAAAATCACATGTTTTTATACGGTATCGATAAATGTAACGATTCTCCGAATCTAGATCTTACTACATGGCCATAAAACAAAATCGGCGTCGTATTTCGTTTTTTAGCGTTGCCCTATTGCTCGTACTTTTTAAACTCCCACTTCAGACGCCGTCATATAAAGCCTAGACCTAGTATAATCTTTGAATGGAATTTTTCTAGCGTAGGAGTTAAAACGTTAATGTATAATGCAATCACGATCAAATTTTTTTTTACTTTCAGAGATATATTAGGTTATATCGTTATTATACTTATCACCATGCCCCTCCTCTTCCTCTTCATCACCATCATCAGCACCACTTTGATCGTATCCATCACCATGTTCCCCATTATCATTATCGTCATGGTCGTTATCGTCATCACCATTATTATCACCCTCATTATCATCATCACGATGATCATTATCATCACCATCATCATCACCCTGATCCCCATTGTCATCATCGTCATGGTCGTTATCGTCATCACCATCATTATCACCCTCATTATCATCATCACGATGATCATTATCATCACCATCATCATCACCCTGATCCCCATTGTCATCATCGTCATGGTCGTTATCTTCATCACCATCATTAACACCCTCATTATCATCATCACGATGATCATTATCATCCACATCATCATCACCCGGATCCCCATCATCACATCTTCATCATCATCATCACCATGATCCTTATCGCCATCATCATCATCAGTATCCTTATTATCCCTATCACCATCATCAAAGACATCAATTATAGGCAAGATCCTGATATTATAGCACTGTTTTTACATAAAAGCCAATTTTATACAAAGGGGGTCGTCCATAAATGATGACGTCACACTCGTAGGGGGGAGGTGGGTCCGTAATTTTGTGAATGTGAAATGGGGGGGGGGGGTGTTCAGATGGTGTGACGTCACACATTTGAATTATAAAAAAGAAATCGAGTTTTATCTGTTATCAGAATTTTTTAAAATAAATCGTAACAGAAATTGATTAAAATACTATATGATGACAGAGTTCAGACAAGATTTTGGGAAAATATCGATGTTTTAAGACCAATTCAACTGCAATTTTGAGGGGATTGTAGGCTGAGGTGTGACGTTATTTTAGGGAGGGGGGGGTCTGGCTTTTTGTGACGATGTGTGACGGGGGGGGGGGGGAAGTAAAATCGTCATAAAAAGCGTGACGTCGTTTATGGATGACCCAAAACTCCGAAATTTAGAATAATTTAGAATAAATTTTCAAATTCGTCCTGATGGGAGCTTTTGCCAGTGACTACACCTTCTCATCGAGATGCCTGAACGAACCTGTATTTGACAATTCATTTTAGAATGTTCACATAGATTCACATAACCAAGATAATTAATTCTGCGTCATGCTCCGCTGGTGATGGTGGCATTCGCACTTGGAAATCCGCCTTCGCAACTCTTTGATGAATCGTCCTTGCTCGGCTGAGCGGAATTATTGTAAGGGAACTCCCACGTTACATTAAATGTTCTAACCCAGCCAATGAATGAAATTCCCGTACTGACGTAGGCAAAAGCGGGGGCTTTCCCAGTGACCTGACATATTTTTGTAACGCGATAGCGGTAGCCAGCCAGTTGTGTCTTTACAGTCAGCCCTCGCTTGCGGAAGTTGGTCCGCCGGTCGACCTACCAAAGTTTAGTGTTGTGTTTTGATCCGTGCTACGCGGTTAGGGAAAAGTTATTCAAAACTTCGCCGTTCAACAGGTGTGTCGGTTACAAACTTTTCTTGATTATTTATTTACAAACGGATAAATTAGTTCACTATGGGAAATTTTCTAGCAAAACGTAGCTCTGATTACATGATTTACGTTCAAACTGGAGACAGGCGAAACGCCGGGACCGACGCGAACGTTCGGATAGTCATGCACGACGAATATGGACACTCGTCACTACCAATCACACTGGATAATTATTTCAAGAACGATTTCGAGAGAGGGTGCCTGGATACATTTCACGTCCCGTCGAACAAGATAAAAAATTTACAGCGCATGGGAAAAATTGTCAGAATCGAGGTGTGGAAAGACGACGCATGGGCGGCCAGTGATTGGTACGTGGATAAAATTGTCATAGAAAATCGGGTCACGAACAACACATTTGTTTTTCCCATCTTTCGATGGATCAAGGCCAAATATCATTACCAGATCAACCACCTCGACACGTCCCTCCCCCAAGATGAACAGTACCCCGAGCAGCGGGCCATGGAGTTAAGCGAGAAAAGGAAAGCTTATGAATTCGATCAAAAGGTCCCCGATGGGCCAGCGCAGGTGAGGTTGTTTTTAAAATTCTATCAAAATCATCCATGCGTGAATTAACACGACTACACTTTAACTTAACACGTTAGCAGTGTGATTTTGTCCGTGGCCTACTAAGATTTTTTAATGTATGTTAAGCCACAGGCTACAGTAATGTATAATAATAGAGTGTCTAGTTTTCACTCGCTCACGCAAGAAAAACAAAACACGTGTTGGTGTTGCGTCAGGTGTTTTTCAGTCTACATAACACAGAACCCGCATACCGTTTAGACGTTTTTTTTACCTGAATTTAAAAGGCACCCAACTGTGGACTGTTCCAGTCAATAGGGGTGTAAGTGTAGACTGCTTATAGTTAATTATTTTCTAATTGTTGTTCGAAATAGTATCTTCCAATAAATGGGGGTGTTGGGTAGTCGCCGTGTCGGAAGTAATAAACATGCAGTATATCATATAGTGTTAAGTACTGTTAAGTTATTGGTATGCTTATGGCTATTTTTGACTTACGTAACATCCCTGTTAGTAAATAATTTAATTACTAGCAATTAACATCACCCTTCACTCTAGAAGAGTTCATTAAAATGACATTATCGGATACCGGTATGGAAAATATTCCTGGAAAAAAAAATCGCTAATTCGAAATTCGCTGATAGGGCTGTATGTAGGCATGTTTTTTTTTTTTTTTTTTTGTTCTTGTTGCTGGTATCTTTATCCTAACCATGGTCTTGTCATTAGCCTTAACACTAGTATAATTGTGGATAAAAAGTCTCTATATGATACCATATTACCCTGTGGACAAAACAGTTAATTTCTCCCCTCCTTTAAGCCAACCATTTCGGTCATGAGAGGGGTTCAAATATTTTTCCATATGTATAAAATCATATATATATATATATATATATATATATATATATATATATATATATATATATATATATATATATATATATATATATATATATATATATATATATATATATATATATGGGTGTGAGTCCATGGGAGGGGTTATAACCGCCCTACCCCCCCCCCTTCCTTACCTACGCCACCGTTTACATTCAAGCGTTAGTTCAATAAACTGCAGCTATAAAATAAATGGGGCATTAGTAGCACAGCCTAGGTAACCTAGGACATTTGATAATTTTGACCCGGGCTTTACATGAAAAGATAAGCGATGCATTCTAAAGGGTTTTTTTAAAAGTAGGTTACGCATCGGGCCGTCAACATATTCAAATGCCGGTTTTTTTTTTGTGATTGTGTAAAAACCAACATGTGAATATGTTGTACCTTAATACCACGCCATCCGGTCAGTGTGTTGTACCGTGCAATCAACCTATTAGACACACGTGAAACATGTGATCCTTGCCAACAGGTGAACACCATGTTACAAAATAGCAAATATAGAGAAAAGTTCATTGTATAAGTCAAAAGTTAAACACACTATCATAGAGCCCCGAATTTTTAAAATACCAACTCATTGCTCATTATCAGACCGCGATTTGTCCCTCAGTGAAATGAATCAAGTAATAGACGACTATAACCCACCAACGACACACACCACCATTTAGCACCACCAACGACATATACCACCCTGTAGCACCATCAACGACACCAATAACACGAATCACCAATGACACATAGCACCAAAAACGACACAAACCACTATATATAGCGCCACCATATAGCAGCACCAATGACACACACTACCATATAGCACCACCAACGACACACACCTCCATATAGCACCACCAACGACACACACCACCCTATATCACCACCAATGACACACACCACCATATAGCACCACCAATGACACACACACACACCACCATATAGCACCACCAACGACACACACACACCACCATATAGCACCACCAACGACACACACACACCACCATATAGCACCACCAACGACACACACACACACCACCATATAGCACCACCAACGACACACACACACACAACATATAGCACCACCAACGACACACACACACCACCATATAGCACCACTAACGACACACATCGCCATATAGCACCACCAACGACACACACACACCACCATATAGCACCACCAACGACACACACACACACCACCATATAGCACCACCAACGACACACACACACCACCATATAGCACCACCAACGACACACGCACACCACCATATAGCACCACTAACGACACACATCGCCATATAGCACCACCAACGACACACACACACACACCACCATATAGCACCACCAACGACACACACACACACCACCATATAGCACCACCAACGACACACACCACTATATAGCATCACCAAGAATACACACCAGCCTATAGCATCAACAAGAATACACACCAGCCTATAGCACCACAAAGGATACACACCACAATATATCACCACCAACGACGCACACCACCCTATAACACCACCAACGACACACACCACCCTATAACACCACCAATGACACACACCACCCTATAGCACCACCAACGACACACACCACCATATAGCAGCACCAACGACACAGACCAAACATTAAAACAGTTAAATCTTAAAGCTCGCCATTGACACAAACCACTTGAGAGCCCTCTTAAAAAAACACATCACACAACTGCACGCCAAGATACACACAATCTTGTCCACTGCCTAAATGCAGTGAGACTTACCTCAGACGGGGGTGTAGACGAACCGTATTTACTGTATAAAAAAGGTCAGTTAATTACGAAGCTAGCATCACCTTACAGCCCATTATCGAACGTTTATGTTGAGACAGGGCTCTATATCAATGTAGAAATAATAGATCTCAAAATTTGTAACCTAGACCTATTCAATTTTTTTTAAATTTTAAAGCTAGATAGATGGATAGTCCGATAGAAGGATGGATGGACGGACGGATAGACAAACATATAGATAGACTATATATATATATATATATATATATATATATATATATATATATATATATATATATATATATATATATATATATATATATATATATATATAACAAAGCTAATCCATACTAGTTAAACTGAGATGGCTTAACTATCATGTCAGTAAAGCTATAGAAACAGTGTTAGTAATCTAATACGTGTCGAGAGACTCAGATGTCGCTCTTGTGTTATATATAAATTTGTGCCCAGCGTCCCCCCCCCCCCCCCCCTTCCTAACTGGGGTTGTTTATGCTGACAGGTAGAACAATATCCTAGAGATAAGCGTGGCCTACGTGAAAGATATGGGGACTAGGCATCATTCAATGACCTTGGTGTAGGCTCACAGTTTCAGGGTTTCGTGAACATGTGGTCGGATGGTAGAGTTCGACTGCTAACCCGAAAGTCTCGAGTCCGGATCCCGGGCTTGGTGTAGGCTCACAATTTCAGGGTTTCGTGAACACGTTTGCGGGAGGATGTGGTCGGATGGTAGGGAGTTCGACTGCTAACCCGAAAGTCTCGAGTCCGGATCCCGGGCTTGGTGTAGGCTCACAATTTCAGGGTTTCGTGAACACGTTTATGGGAGGATGTGGTCGGATGGTAGAGAGTTCGACTGCTAACCCGAAAGTCTCGAGTTCGGATCCCTGGATCCAGTCCGTATGACATCGCTTAGTCCATCCAGCTTTGATGAGTACCTGACTCGAATAGAGAAAATAAAGGCGACTGGGCAGAGTGCTGGCTACACTATCCTTTCATACGCCGAGGTCACTGAAACAGGTGAACTCTACTTCACCTGCCCCATGGACTTAAAGGTCCGGAAGGTTGCTTTACTTATGAACAAGTTAAGATTTTTCTCAGATACGAGCCTCTAGTGGCTTACCCTCTCCAGTTATTGACACTAATGCTAATCTAAATCGCATACTTCATAAGTAACCCCACCCCCAGTTAATAATTAAATTGAATTTTTTTAATTTACTCAATAATTTTTTGATGATAAATGTCCTTTGTTGTGTTTCATTTCTCATCAAAGCTCGTTTAGGGTTGAGTATCGTCTGGCATATTATTTTAAGGCCAATTCTAGTCGGAATAAGATACGCATGCGAGACGCATGCGCAATGAAGAGAAACTACGACTTGCCTTAGCGGCGATGTTTTCGATGGTACTGCGCATGCGTGTGTTTACAACCGCAGAACCCTAATACCAACCCTAATCCTATCCTTAACCCTATCCTTAATCCTATCCCTAACCCTAACCCTAATCCTATCCCTAACCCTAGCCCTAATCCTATCCCTAACCCTAACCCTATCCCTATCCCTAATCCTACCCCTAACCCTCATTCTAGCCCTAACCCTAGCCATAGGTCGCTGCGCATGCGCAGAACTATCTTTTGCCGAAAAATCTTATTCCGAGTAGACACTTCGTTATTTTTTAATTGTAAGAATCGTCTACATTACTTTAAGACATTTTACGTTCGATAATGTAAGACCAGGTGCTTTGATAAGATCAGTCAGCTTGATTTTTTTTCCAGGGTAAATATAATCTTACGGACAACAGCAGAATTAGGCCTAAATATTAAAATAGAGATTCTGCTATTCGGATCACATGATGATTAACCCCCCCCCCCCCCACCCCACCCACCCCTCCAGCACCACTAGAACTGTGTAGCTACCCCCACCCCTCCCACAAGAACACACTAAGCACTACTCAGACGTAACTAAAACTATTGATACAGCTGTTGAACCCCGTCGTGTAAGTTGGTGTTTCATTTGCATTTGAATGTCGGTGCATTTACATGGGTTACTTGCGCATGTGTGTAGCTGTAGTACCATAAATCAGACTATGTTAGTGCCTGGATCGCCTTAATTTTGCACTCTCACGATAAGCCAAATTTCTTAGAAGCAATTCTCTAATCAGTATACACTTTTTGTGTCGCCCGATACAATAGAGTGTACAACATAAACAGCCGAATTGTTTGTTTCGTTAAATTTACTTCCCATTTTGAAGCCAAAGTCTACAAGTTATTTCCGGTGAGGCGTCAATGAATCTCGTGTAATTTAGGAAAGTGTATGCTCTACTGCCCTCCCCCTCCCTATAA